AACACATTTGCATGCCACATTCGCAGATGTGGCGCCATTTATGCTTCGCCCTCGAAATCACAAACAAAAAAATAACGAAACAACGGAATATGGTATACGAATCGTTGAAATGGCGAAAACGTTAACAGGATATTAAAATGTTCTAACGTGTTTGTGTGATGCTATGCTATGGTATGAAATTCTGTATATGGTTGCATATGGAATGTCTGCTAATGTGCACAGCAATTTACCTGCGCACAATTTATGAATAAATAAATAAATTTAAGGGTTATGCATGACTCGCGGGTGAGATCTCCAAACCATACTTTTGCTTCACACATGCTCATTCAAATGAATAACAGTCTTCTCTTCACACCTTTTCACTTTACTGGTAAATCAATAGTGATAGGTGCTGGTGTACCAAGATATTACTCATACGCCACGTCGATTCACTCTTAAAGGGGTTCGTAAATACAATAGTAGGAGTATTGGTGAAATGTTTGTAGGGTTGGGTATATTTTTGGTTTTGAAAACTATTGTCTATATCTCACACCAAAAAGAACTTTGATTGAATTCACTGTTTTCAGTAAGCGCTAAAGCTTACTATAATGCGATAATTGAATAAGGAGCCTAACATGTAACCTTGAGAGAATCGATCCACAAGAATCTGCCTTAGACACAATTTTCTAATACCCTAGAATAATATTCTCGTGTACACCGTATTCCAGTTAGGTCGTTCTACACCGACTAAAAGAAATGGTAGCCAGAGGGGACAAAGTCTACGCTATAAGACGGGTGATGCAGAACCAACCGCTGTTTTCAACATGAGGCCGAGCAAATTCCGGACGTCTTTCGGTTTTAAAAGCTCTTAAAAAGGCCAAATACTGATAATTGCCTTAGCGTCATGGATATTCGGCTTTGCCGTTGATTTGGCGGATTGGCCCGGTTTCACATATGATTTTTTGCATTTTATATTACCGTAAGTAATTTTTGATCACCAGTAACAATCCGATGCAAAAACGACTTCTTTTGTAACGTCCAAGCAACATTTCGGAACGCAAAATTGTCTTTCAACGGCTCTTGGCTTCAATTCATATGGCACCCAATTTCGTAGCTTTTGAATGTATCCGATTGATTTTAGACGTTTTGAAATCGCTGCTTGAGTAAGTCCCAAAAATACTGCGAGCTCTTCTTGTATTTGGCAACAATCGCGTAATGCTTCCAGTTTCTCATATGCAATCAATTATTGGGATCTAGCACCCAAACACTTATATAATTTAATGAGAGTCCATTCGAACTTCAATAGTAACTTTGGGAAGTTCAAAGCACTCAATTGACACTACACCTCCTGATACTATTACAATTGCCAGCAAGTGCCCTGCGATTCAACTAACACAATAATTTATGAGTAATTTCAAGTTCCTATGAGCACTTCTTTTACATTTTTCTCTATTCGGAAAAAAATTAACCCAAAATAAATTGTAAAAAATGCACCCCGGCCTACAAAATCTTGGCGAAATTTAAAAGCAGGAGAAAATCCAAAAAATAATTAGAAGCGTGATGAGCAAAATAAAAATGACCAATGTTGAGTACAAAAAAAAAATAAACAAAACAAAATAAGAAACTGCGGTAAGGCAAAGTCAGCCGACCAACAACCAAAGTTATGAGAAGAACCCATTAGGCTTAAAGCTTATAAAAGACAAACTGCCTACTAGTAATGAGTGAGGGAAAGGCTAATTGGCAATGCGAACAACAAGTAAATGTGCAAACTTCGAAAACTAGCTATGCGTTAACAGTAGGGGAAAATAACACAAAAAGGATAAAAACAAGACCACCACTCGACCTCTCGCTAATGAATAAAAGGTTGAAGAAAATAATTGACCGCCTTAGAAAGTGAGCAGATGATGTGGAAAATTATTATAAGGGTTGAATGTTAAGCAAATCTGAAAGTACTAAGTGGTCATATTGAGTAATTTAAGTTATCGTGCATACCCATATATACATATTTATGTGTAGACACACACAAACCCAGTATTAAACATTTATATATCCATTTGACAGGAAGCCATGCCAAAATGGTGGGAGATTTTTGATCAGCATATCCCCAATAGCTCTTAAAAGAACAGTTAATTCCCAAGTTTTTGACCATTCTGATATCTATCGAGAAGCTTTATATCGGACTTATACCGAAGAGTGCCAACTTAATTCGACTGAATTAAGTCCTTGCAGTATTAGCTTCTTATAAGATTCCACTTTTGGTTTGTTGGTCTGTCTACCTGAACTATTCGAGACCCAGTAATCAAGCAAGTTTTAAAAAAAATGAAAGAAGAATAGTTTCAAACTTAGTAATCGATCTACCAATTGAAAAATCAATATAAATCAAACTATCATGGACGAGCCTAAAAGTTTTAAACAAACTCCAAAGACTAATGGTTTTTATATTACACTTTTTGATCCATGGTGACCCCCCGAGAGTTATTATGACCTTAAAAAGTTTATTGTAGTTGTGAATTGAGGATCATTGTCCAAATCAGATAATTATGACATTGTTAGAACCTTGTATTTTTTATACGTTCATACATTTAGTCCCTTCTTTACACTTTTACGGAGATGCTCCTAATCTATAGCACACAATTTTTTTCACTGGGTACAACCTGACAAAGGTATGCTTTAAATAAAATTATACATGTGTCAATACCTGCAAACTTATGTACGAGTATATAGGTATATGGTATAAATACAGGGTATACTGTACATATTTTATTACATCCAAATACACAATTCGTTAGATATGATACACTCAGGACCAATAAAACACTCAACGGTATTCCTTTCAATTCCAAACATCATTAGAACTACAAATATAATTATACCCTGAAGAGGGTATATTAAGTTTGCCAAGAAGTTTGTAACATTGGGAATATATACATAAATAATCAGCATGTTGCGCTGAGTTTAGAAATTTTCTCACTATAGCATATAGCTGCCATACAAACTGAACAATCGGAATCAAGTGCTTGTATGGGAAACTTTTTTATTTGACGAGGTATCTTCATGCAATTTGATCGTAATCAAGTCATTGTAAGGAACCTTTGTATTTGTGAAGGGTATTATAGCTTCCGTGCAACTTCGGTTTTTCTTGTTTTTTATTTTTTTTTTTTCTGCTGCAAATTTTATGTACCGAGGCGTGAGAAATGGTGTCGAATGCCTGAAAAGATTTAAATAAATGCTTTTGTGGGTGAGAAATAAATATAAATGACAAATATAATGAGACCTATTTAATTTAATAATATAAAGTTAAGTGGCAGCATACAATTTCATAGAAAAAGGCAAACAAATCAACGGTTAATTTAATGCAATAAATGCTTAAACTGAAATTTTATATCCGTTGGGTAGAATATTACAAACAAACAAGAAAAAACGTTCACTTCGGCTGCACCGAAGCTATAATACCACTTTACAGGTGAATTTTTGAGAGCACAAAAGCGTATAAAAAGGTCTTTATCATGATTTTGATAGTTTAGTTTAAACATCAGCTAAGCAATATATATTAGAAGACTGTAGCGTTGCCTAGAACAATAACCCATCACAAATACTTGTAGATGAGGAGAAGATAATTTGTCAAATAAAAAGATTTTCATACAAGAACTTGAGATTAATCAATCAGTTTGTATGAGATGGACATGGCTAAATCGACTCATCTCGTTACGCTGATCATTTATATAATATATACTTTATAGGGTATCCGAAGAGTGTGAAAGCGGGGAGGTGGACAGGGACACAGGGGTAAGCGTCTTTACAGATGTGTCCAAACTATTTAATCGAGCGGGAGGTGGTGTCCTTTCAGCAAAATTTGATGCCAGAATCGCCTTCCAACTACCAGACCACTGCAGTGTTTTCCAAGCGGTGATCACAGCAATTAGGAAGAACTATCTCGTTTTGACAAAAAGTGTGCCCACAACAAAAAATATATCCATATATACAAATAGGCAAGCGGCTTTCAAATCCCTAAAGCCTCTTGGGGTTTCATCAAAAATAGTGAAAGAATTACATGATTTCTTGGTGGATCTAACATCCTATTTCAGGATAAACCTACAATGGATTCCAGCTCATAATAATATCCCTGGTAACTGTGAAACAGATGAACCATCCAAAGCAAGCACCTCCCTACAACTAAAATTCGAAAAAGAGTTAATTTATATACCTTTGGGTACTTGTAGATATTAAACCGACAAACATATTATAGATATAGCGGAGCCTTGGTGGGGTCAATCCCTAACTTGCTCAACAAGAAGGCAAATGTGGCACAAATGGAATCTGAGCCACACATGCCAACTATTTAAATTCAAAAGGAGCGCTTACAGGTCACTGTCTAATTGGCATACATGCCAGCAGACTGGAAACACCACACATTGACTATTTTAGAAGCTGTCAGGGGGTAGAAGAAAAAGAAACTATAGATTATAATTGGTTTAGGAAAATAATAGCAACTATTAGTCGAGGGTAGCTTGACAATGTCTTGGAGGTTGCACAGATAAAACTTTTTGTAGTGATAAACTTTATCAGGAGCACAGGGTGGTTCAGAAAGGGCATAATAGAGTGAGGGGATTTTCGTCCCGGTGGTTTCACAATGGACTTCCTACACGCCAAGATGTGTCGACAGACATCCACTCTACCTAGCTACTTACATAGGATATCCGACGTTTCCTTCTGGGTGTTACAAACTTCGTGGCATATGTAAATTTAGAATGGCCATCGGCAATATGAAAAGTGAATCAGTTTTCCATTTCAAATTTTGAAGTGAACTTAACATTATATTTGTTTCAATGTACCGCAAACCAATGTTGAAGATTATTTTAATAATTTTATCCGAGATAAATTCTTTTAGGGAACCACAACTTCCGATCAAGAATTTAGCATATTGAAATTAAATTCGAATATCTGTACAAATTCTTGATAGTAATTATATATATGTATATTTATGCTACTTATGACTTGCAATTCTTTTTATCTCTCTTCAGACTGTTTCTCTTACGAAATGGCCGATCAATGCGATGCCGTTAATGGCACATTTTACTTGAGAACATGCTATAATATTAGTTATGCCGAGGAGCATAATATCACCGAGTTAGCGCTACATGCGCTAAAGCGACCACCAGCTGAGGAGTACTTTACGTAAGTGTAGAACCACATACTACTTGAAATATGTTCTAATATTAATGCGTTCGTCCCCGTTCATTTTCTCTTCAGTAACTACGTGTTGGGCTTATCTTCTGGCATTGAAGAAACTGGCGGCATAAAAATCGAGCTGGCGGCCTGTCTATTTGTCGCTTGGGCAATTGTTTTCCTGTGCCTCTGCAAAGGGGTCCAATCTTCCGGCAAAGTAGTCTACTTTACCGCGCTTTTCCCTTATGTTGTATTAGTGATCCTATTCTTCAGAGGTGTGACATTACCGGGCGCCATGACGGGCATTTTGTTTTATTTAACACCTGATTTTAAGCAATTGGCCAATGCGCAGGTAGGTCACAAGCTCCAGAGTTTCCAAACTAGTTGATAAGATAGAATTATTTTAAACTGATATTAATCGTTATATTTACATGTCTTTTGCTTAGGTCTGGAGCGATGCTGCGGTACAGATATTCTTTGCACTCAGTCCTGCTTGGGGTGGTCTGATAACACTGTCTTCGTACAACAAGTTCTCAAACAATTGTTATAAGTAAGGTTTTGTTACTTTAGGATTAACTGATCTATTTATTAATGCTTTCATTTCCATCCACAACGTGTAGAGACTCTTTAATCGTCGCCATTTGCAATATAGCGACCTCGTTTTTTGCCGGCTTGGTCATCTTCTCGATCATCGGTTTTCTAGCACATGAGCTAGAGGTGGAAGTAAAAAAGGTAGTCGATCAGGGCGCTGGTCTGGCATTCATCGTTTATCCAGAAGTAGTGACACGCCTACCAGTCTCGCCCGTTTGGTCGGTTCTATTTTTTGTTATGTTACTTACACTAGGACTGGACTCACAGGTGAGATTTTGGCATTAATAAGAAAAAAACAGGCTTTACTGTTTGAGTTTTTCTTTATCTCTCTCTCTCTCTCCCTCTCATATTACATGCATTACATCCTGTATTCAGTTCGCGCTCATGGAGACCGTTACAACTGCCATATTGGATAAATTTCCCAATTTACGACAATACAAAACATGGGTTGTGCTCTTTGTTGGTGTTTTTGGTTATCTTGGTGGTCTCGGTTTTACTACGAATGTATGTAAAATGCAACCCAGTATAAGTTTACTTTAGAACTAGTCAGTTTTTCTTTGCAGAGCGGGATGTATTGGTTGCAACTAATGGATAAGTATGCTGCGAATTGGTCGGTGTTGCTTATCGCTATTTCCGAGTGTGTTTTAATCGCTTGGATTTATGGTTCACAACGTTTCTTGAACGACATACAGGGTATGATTGGTAAAAGATCGAAATTCTGGAATTCATTTTGGTCGGCAATGTGGCGTTACATAACGCCAGCAACACTATTGGTAAGTAATGAAAGCGTGGGTAAGATTTAGCTTACAAGTATTTTAGAGTAAAACTTTTGAACCGAACCTTGAAGAGAGTAAACCACCTGTTTCTGGTCCATAATTATTTCATCTTTCAGTTTATTCTATTCTTCAACTGGGTCGAATACAAACCGGCCTCCTATGGTCACTATGTCTATCCACTGTGGGCTGATGCAGTCGGTTGGTTTATCGGGCTGTTGCCGGTACTATTTATATTCCTAATCGCCTTCCAACAAATATGTAAAGCACCAAAGCAACTGACATTCAAAGAGCGGCTAAAACTTCTACTACGTCCCACCGCCGAATGGGGACCAGCCGGAAGGCCATGTGTCAATTTACACGCCGAACGCTACGATAGTCAAAATTACGATGTCGTGGCCAATACACAAGTCCTCATAAATGGCATGCCAACCGATGTGTCACCCTATGAGGACAACAGCAATGGTTATCGTGATGAGGCGATGCAACTCTGAGAGCGAGTGAGCGCATCGTCGGCAGCGGTGCCGACAAAAACATCCACTGCTGTTGTGCGCATGAGTGATCACGTCGATGAAGGTATTGGTCTGCGAATGGGAGGTAATGGCGCCGGCAATGGTGCTAGTGGAGGAGGTGGCGGCACTAATGTGGCAATTAGGAATGGCAGTGTAAGTTAACGTTATTTGTTTTCAAGTTATAAATACACTGAAATAATCGTGTGCTTGTATATGCATTATACTACTTCTAGCATCCCGAGTATGGTGCGGCTGTAGCTATCAAAACTTCCAGCTCAGCGGTGACCACCAAACTACCCGGCCCGAGTATATTGAAAGGTTCAAAGAGTAACCAAGTGGCCAGCAATGGTCGCAACAAAGGGCAATCTCTGCCCGAGGCGAGCCCTAGCCGTCAACCGCTTATAGAGGCCGAGTTGCGTGCCAACGACAGCGTCGGCTCGTTCCTGAATGAAGCATCTGCATTGGGGCAGCGTAAAACTCAAGCTAACGGTTATCCCGCTGAGGTAGGTGATAAAATTACGAAAGTAACTGCCAGCATTATATTGCCCACGAAGCCGGCAATAACAACAACCGCTGCCACTGCCGCCACAAGCACAGCAACAACAAAAGTGCTTGTCGCTGGAACAATGAGCAGCGGTCGTGAACGTATGCTCACCACGTTCGGGGAGCGTGGTGTTGTGCCGGGGGCTGAAACGGTAAGCGCAGCAATAACGACAACAACAACAACAACATTTGGCGCTGTAAAAACAACCGTTGCGGCAGGCCTGGGTTCAAAACCGCTAACTGGCAGCATTAAGCCGGACACTGTTACTAGTCTGTCACAGTTGACAACAACAACTACATTGGCAAAAAATGAGAAGCCCGCAAGCATTGTAGCAACAAAGCCAGCAGCATTAGAATTAAAGCATACGACGATGATTACAAAACCTGCGACAATTGCAACAACAACAACAGCCAAATCGACGTTAGCTGGCAAGTCGACAACAACCACCACCAGCACAGCGGCAACAGCAACAATTGCTAAGCCCAAATTGACTGCTACACAAACGTCAGCAGCCACAACTGTTGCGGTATCCGTTACGACACCGATTGTTGCAGCAACAACTACAACAACAGCAGAAATGGCTGGAAAAGCGACTACAGTAGTCACTGCAACGACAACTGTTGTTAAACCTACCGCCACTACGGCACAAAAAACAATAACAACAACAAAAACAACACCTACAATTACAACTACAAAAGCAATTACTACGGAAACAGCACAAATGCCTGCAGTTAAGAGCGGCGGTGCCGTGTCAGCAACAGCAACGGTTCCAAAAACCTCAACAACAACAAGCATAAGCATAGGCGCTAAAGCGCTCACAGACAGTAAGCCTACAGCTACGACAACTACCGCTGCCGCTAAACCGCCAACAATAGTTGCAGCTACAACAACAACAAAACCATTAGCAACTTCTGCTGCTGTTATAACGCAAACGAATAAACCACCAATCACAACAACAACTTCAACTGCCACAGTGTCAGCCATCGCTGTCGCCCCAAACAGGACAACAATAATTAACAGCACAAATTTAGTTACAACAACAGCAAATGTTATGCCCAAACAATCGACTGCAGCGTCCACAACAACAACAACTAAGGCAACAACTACGAAGTCGAATGTTGTTAGCCAGCCGTCGGCGAATACGAATGTCATTATTGCACCGATGCCTGCTGCACAGCCAACAAAAATTGCTAACACAAAAGTGATCAATGCAACAACAAGTCCGATCACCGCATCTATACAAAAGCCTACGGTGTTGTCAACAACGCTAACAGCAGATGCCAAGTTGCCAGCAATGACGGCAGTTGCCACCACCACCACAACAACAACAACATTAGCTAGCGGTACAAAAGCGTCTATAACTAAAACGCCGGCGGCAATAAGCAAAACAACAACACCAATGTCATCAACAGCAGCACCAACAAGAAGTGTGGGCGCCAACACCGCAACAACAACACAGTCTGTAAGTAAACCAACAATAACAACTGCTGTAGCTACGGTTCCAAAAGTCACAGCAATAGCAACAACAACTACAGCCAAATCAGCAATTGCTTCAACGGTTGGCAGCACCACCACTACAGCAACAACAAAAGCTACCACCACCACCACAAGTAATGTCAGCCAAAAATAATTGTAAGCAAAACAAAAACAATTACTTTAGTCATAACACCCGCTCAACCCACAGGAGTAATTATAAGAGTAGAAACACAAACATACATACATAACACACTGGATTTACGAAGTAAGTACAATACATAAGCGCAAACTATATAATTAAACTAACAACTAATCAATACTAAATGGATGCAAGTATTCTCCAGAACGTCTTTAGCTCTAATGAAATAAATATGCAAAGTGGCGTATATTACATTTGTATGTACGCTTACCGAAAACTGTTTCTCAGCAGTCAAAAGTAATCAAAACCACAAAAAAATATATACAGATATTTAGTAACAAAAGAATATTTCTAAGAAACAAATTAAGACATTCAAAACGCGAAGTTCAACCTAACCTAACTATTAGAGGAAAGTATATACCAAACATATTTAGAAAACAACAAAAGTAGTAAGCTAAACCCCACACTAGATTTAAGTTCAGGTACCGGAATTACTATTTACATAAATATACGTACTTTTAAGTGAAACTTAGAAAACAAAACAATTTCAGTTGCCATAAGAAAAAGGTAAAGCATTGCCAAACCGAAAGAGAAGCATGCGAAAGTATGCAGAAGAAACGTGTAACCAAATGAAAGTTTAATCCGGTGTGTGTATTTTACTTCTATTCACTTATGCTTTCATAAAATCAGCAATAGTTGAGGAAATCGACGCATTGAAAATTATAAGTTATGTTTATATAATTCTTAATTAATTAAAACTCTATCACAATATTAAATACCGAGTCAGCATGAAAAATGTAGCATATCAAAACTTTGAATTCAAAATATTTTAGGAAATTTTCTCATGAAATCCATCAGATGTTTGGGGGCTGAAACTATAAACAAAGAAGAATCCCTTGTGTGCATATAGAAAAGATATAGATAGATTTTCAATTACATGGAAATCCTGTGGCAACTTGTACCTAACTGTTTAAAATAATTCCAATTAAGTTCCTCTCCTTCTCCAATACATATACGAAAAGTAATTATGTAGGATTTTCTATACTTTGTTTCTAGCAAAATGGATTACCTACTTCGTTTCAATCAAAATTATTCACTTCTCCTTTTTGACTAACATACAATTTAACCCTAGAATAACACTTCAGGTCTTGGAACAATAGCAACACAAGGCATATCACAAAGTTACTTTGGTGTAGTGTTTATGGTGGCAAAAGAAGGGGTGACCCCTTCTGAAAATTGTAAAAGTGGATTCGGCGAAATACCGAGCAGAGCCCAGACTTCAACCGGTTGAGATAGGATATATTCCACGGCTACCAATGCTCCAACTAGAGACACATTGGACAGCTGGGTTGAAAACAAATCAGGTTTTTTACCAAATCCACTGAGTTGCTGGATAAGGCTTAATTTGGTTGCCACCGGGAGCACAATAAGCTTAATGATGGCCTAAGTGCGGCCGCTCACAGTCTAACGCTTATACGCCTCTTTTTTCAACCAACCAACCAACCAAAATGAAAATAATCTCGAAGTACTTAAACTTTATTAATGTGACTTATTTTTAATCACAATTTTGGAGTGGCGAAATTTCAAGAGCCCTCTATGAATTTATGCTTTCAATATTTTTGAATATAACCTGTTAGGTTAACTAGTTAGGTAAACTAGCGAATCCTTGTGACAGGAGTCACGAAGGATCCCACTTGAACAATTGAGAATGCCAGACTTTTGTGTTATCATCAACTGATAATTTTGTATCAACAGAAGCCTAGTAAAAGACAAATCGCTTTGAGCCTGTCACAAGTTTGTGGAGGTGGCTAGTAACAATTCCGGCCAATTCACCTGGTTCGCCCAAGCAATGCCTACTGAGATATTTCAACCTAAATCTAGGGTAAGATTAACAGTGGAAAAAAAAGTATATATATTTTTCCACCTCACCCGCTTCCATAAAACTATGGCAGTTGGCGTTTAGCCTCAACGCTTGAAATAAATAGGACAGTGTTCAGTTAGAACTCCCACAATTGTAGCGAATAGAACCTTACTAAGAACGAGCAATTGATTGGACCTCTTGCGTTGCACTCTGAAGGAAGGCCAGAAGGGTTTCACAACGTAATATATGTGCACGAGGTCCATTGATAGAGTGCCAGAACACCAGAAAACAAGAGAATACAGATTTGTTCCAAGCTTGTTGGAATCGCGACCTCATCGGCTTTGCTGTTCATCAACAATCACTTTAAAACATGGTGATTCGTTACAATTATTCTTAGAAGTTTAACAGCAGTAAAATAAGTGTTTCCTATAAAAGTAAATATAATAATTTTTCTATGTCCGCCTTTTTAGGTAAAAATTCTCAGCTCATACCATTTTCCAAGATTCCAGCGCTGTAAATTAAATATTGGCCTAATTTAAGACGTTTATCTGGAGTTTACCATTGATATTTGTAAATCGCCAAGTATTCTATATAAATTAGGCATTGAGGAAACTAATTCCATGATTGAGAATATCCAATATTTAAATGTTTGCGGTTAATTGACGTATGGAATAAGGGAGAGTAATGGAGACTTAAACCCAATAGGCATACATATAATTGGTAGACAATTGATGAGATAAATCAGGGATGCTTATAAACGTTTATTCGACAAAGCCAATTTGTTCAAGAGGCAACAAAATATTTATTTACTCTGTCATCGGCTATAGATCTTTTCGTAAAGTTAAGCCCAGTAATTATGACAAGTCATTCTTTCCAATAATATTGCTGGGTAAAATACGTCGGCTTTCAGATTTCGACTTTAACAGATTCTCTAGCAGTTAATAGGTACAGGTTTTAAAAATCTAAAACTAGAATTATCAAACTAAGTCCAATACTAGAGACAAATTTCGGTCTACGTCACTTGTTGGTTAGTTTAACAAGAAATGTGTTTCGAGTGCGAGAAATTCCGGAAACCATTAAATCGTTTATTACCAATTTGATTTTAAATAAAAAATTTTTAAATGTTTTTATATTACATAACTGTTTAAGAAATATGAACGTACATATCGTTGGTATCACACGAAACTTACTTATTTATGCTCAAAGTTAACGATAGTTCATTGTTGCGAGTACACGTAGTGCTAAGGAAATATGGTATTTTAAAAAATTGTTGTATGTGTAAGTAAGTAAGACTTTGTATATGGTGTTAATGGATGTCAAATATGTACTTGTATGTATGTAAATTAAGTAATGTTTGTGTAGATGTGTAGGAAAACTAAAAAAACGGTGCTATTAATTGGAGAGAAAGAGAATATTTTATTTTAAACATATATATGTCGGTATAACGTATAACGGCAGTTCGGTATGGCAGAATTAAACCATGTATCGGTAATAGGCATAAGAAGAAAATATCAGTTAGGTCTTAAAGTAAAGTCATTCAAATGTGTCATTGTTATTGTTGTTTAGATGTGTATTGTAAAGATCCGGTAATTAGAATTTTGACTTGCACTGTTGAATGATTCCCTTGTATTGTTGTATGTTGTAGGCACATACATGAATGCATACATATACATATATGTAGCTATGTATTTAACGGTATATTGAATTTGAATTGTATATTGAATTGTAGTCCTGAAATAGTGCAAATTAGTGAAATGTATTAGTAAATATATGTATAGTACAAGAGTATGTAGAGACGGAATTGACTGTTGAATATTGATAATTGAGAAGAGCACTATTGTTGTTATTGTTTAAGGAAGAGCATACATATATTTAGGGAATGTTATTGAGGTTATGGCGTGCGTCCTCATTGTTTTACACGTCCATATCTCAACTAGGATGTGTAGAAAACGGAAGTGTTTGCAGAGGAAAAGCAAAATATTTAAATAGAGGTGAGATGAGGGGGTGATAAAATTGTTGCACACACTTATATAAATAAAATCTATATTTTTTGGTACTTATCACAAGAGCGAGGATTTCAATTTATGTTTTTTTTTTCTCAATTTACTCCATCTGATACCCTAAGCCACAATATGTTTTGATTAATTTGTCCATATAAGGTTAGGTTTTCAAACTTGGCAGAAAAAGGGCAATCGATTTAGAGATGTGATAAGGTTGTAAGTACAGTTATAAAGTTCCTTAGCTACTATTAGATATATCTTCAAACTAAAATAGGGTAAATTAAATATCTTTATTAGCGCCGTTTCCCAGGCATTACCTTTCAGCAATGTAGGGGGTCATTGGATGACATTGTGCAGAACCGATTGGAGGCGTCAAGACCACTATCTAGCTACGAGAACAAAATCACGTATTCATAAGAGTCGTATTATTTTATTTATGAGATGGGCTCCAGTACGTTGTTTTCATAATTCTTCCTTCCAGCTTGAACCGACTCATAACAATTATTATTTATTATAAAAGACGAAAAGAACATATTTTAAGAAATGATAGACAGAGTGAATAGGAGATGAAAACAATGATTGATCCTTTTTCCATTTAATGATAAAATATTTTTCGGGAGTTTCCTAAACTTGCATGCTATAGTTTCAGCTCATTGTATGGACATGCCCCGGCGCCGTTTAGAACTTAAACAGCTATATTCAATATTCAGGATAGTAAATTTATAAGGGTAATTTACCACGTAAAGCAGGTAATCAACTTTAAAACTAGATTTTCTACTAAACTTCAAGTGTTTTAGCTTTCAGTGCTTTTTCAGCTTAAAAGAAGAACTAGCTGAATAGATAACTAAAGACCAAAGCACCTGAAATGTTTGATATGGAGTTTCATTCTCGAGAGGTTTGCCAATAATTTTGTTCTCCTAGAATTCTCACTTAAATAGATCACCCTTTATGTATTTCCTATTACATACATATACATTTATATGTAGATCACAGCACATATGTATCTGCGTTCTACAAGAAGGTGGTCCACTTATGATTTATAAAATTTGAGACAGTGTTGTTTATGCTGTTTTTGTTGTTCTTGTTGTTGTGTGCAGAAATCCTGCTTAAATGTAAGTCTAAAGAAGTCGTAAGAAAGGAGCTGTTCCGAATAGATCAAATCAAAAGCCAACTGATATTATATGTATAAGGCTTCAATAAGAGAAATGATCACCATAAGCTAGACATAATTTAACGACATAAAATTTCCGAATCAAGCTTGACGAAGTGTTTAATCCGCTAACCTTTAAGAAAAAGAGTTTCAAGTAGTACAATGATCAGTATGTTATACCCTTTTATACTACGAATAAAATTATTTCCAGTCGTATGAATCAAGAAATCCTCGGTTACAATTGGGTTTTATAAATGGCGTTAGCCGTGTTAACAGGCTGTTGTTGAACTCGGAAATCTGTCGCCTGCCTCCGCTCCCTTTACACTTCTAAATTCTAATATTAAAGAGCTTAGTGGTCGGGACTATGTACATACACATGTAGGATATAGAAAAACTATTTACTTGAGAATAAATATTCCTATATATTTTTTAGAGCATTTTGAAGTTTTATAACAAATTACAATAGACAAGAAATAGACAACAATTTTACATTATATTTTGTACGACATTTACAGTTAAGCAAGTTACCAAACGTCGGATGTGGTAGGAAAGGCAAGGAGTACTTAGATACTTACATAAAGACGTAGGTGAATGTGGAGTGTAAAAAATATTTTGGGTGACAAGTTAAAAGATTGGGCAATTTGCTGTTGGTCGCTTAAAGTACTATGGCAGTTTACAAATATCTAGATGAAATTTAGATTATTCCGTTATAATTTTTATATATTTATAAATTGTTTCCTTTCAAAAGCAACAGAATATATATGAGAGACTCAAGTACCTTTTAGCGCAAGTCAAGTAAAATAAGTAAATACATACAGACATACAGTTCTATGTATTATGTACCACTATATACATACATACAAACAATTACAAATATATATATATATATATGAAAATGTGCGAACAAACTACTTTATTTGCACATAGGTAGCTTGTAATATTTCTATAATAATTAACTAATGTACTTACACGATTAATTACATAGTTGACAATTTACACACATAGATAAATACATACATACATACATACAATACGAATTACTCAAGTATGAAAGTATTATTTAAAAAAAACAAAAACCTTGTTGAAAAATAAATTTGTGTAGTTATTGTACATGTGTAATGTAAAATGCGTATAGTTGTTGGTATTGAAAAATATGTAGTCTAGAAAATAAATATTTTTAAAAACTGCAAAATAGTTGTTTCTATGTATCGAATAGAAGAAAGTAAATAAAAAACTTGAGAATGCAATAAACAAAATTCATAAAAATAAATAAATAAAGGCAAATTCTATGGAAGAGAAAGTTACGTCACTCAAATGTCAAATCTAGTTGCCATGTGTTGAGTATTATAAAAAAAAATTAAACAATAAGTGTGAAAAAGATTTAAGATTATTATTGCAATAAAATAAATTAATAAATGTGTTTTTAAAATCATATATATAGATACAACATGTATAAGTATTTTTTACCGACATTTTCTCTTGCGTAAATCTGGCAACAATCCAAATTACTCCAACTACTTCACAACATAGCGAGTGGCGTTGCTTTGTATTCCATGAACCTTGATTGCTAGTCGTAAATAGTTGGCTAAGTGTACTATATGTAGGTGTTAAAAATTAATCAATGCTAAAGTAAGAAGTTAGAAATTATTGTTTCGTTATAATTTATATCAGCTGAGTAGTTGGTTGAGCGGTAAACATGGCAAAACACTATTACGTTAAGATAATAAAAAACTTTAATAACTAACAGAAGTTAAGAAATTATAATTGTATAAAATTACATAAAATTAATTGCAATAAAATAACACAAAAAATATTTTTAGATACATTTAAATAAACTGATTTAAAATAAACTTAATTTAATCTTAACATTTTTTAATTTCTGAAATTATTAAAAAAAAATGAAATCGCATAAAAAATGTTTTATGTGGTTTGTGCTTTATTTTGTTTTATTTTAAATCATTTTATTTTATTGTTTTATAATATTTTTTCTTATTTTTTTATTTCAATTCCTATATATATATTTTTTTTTTTGTTTAATATTTTATTTTTTAGCTTTTAGTTTTGCTATTTAGGATATATGTATATACACAAACAAGTTCAAATTTTCAAGACTTAGCAGCTGATGAAGTGAGAGGTCTCAAAAAATTGGCACGTTACCATACATTATTAATTTAAAATAATGTCGCCATGTCTGGTTTTACGAAAAAGTTGGAAAAAATGTTCTCACAATTTGGTGACTGCCTGACTGTGTCAAATTTTTTTAAAAATAGTAAAAATTTGAATTTGGTGATATGGATGGTTCCAGACATAAAAAATTCCATAAAGCAGACCCGCCAAAAATGTTAGTAAATCTGTGCAGTAGAACCTTAAAAACCGTGAGTATCGTTTTGAAAAAGATCGAACCCGTTTAAAGTTTCACTTCCGGCCGAACCAGTTTGGATGCCGAGTCAGCAAAATATTTATATCTCCAAAAATTGGTTGAATTTTCAAAAATCCTCTTGTAGTCATATTCTTGAATAGTTAAACTTTGAAAATATAATTTCTAGACTAGAATACTCCTTAATACTTTATTTTAAATAATATTTATTTATATATTTTATGGCCTTGTTCCATTTAATTTATTTATTATTATTGGGACCCATAACATTTTTTTTAGATTAAAAAACTATCAATTTTATAATGAGTATGCTTGAAAGTGTAGAAAAGGCACGAATTATTTAATAAAAAATATGGAGTTTCATAAATGCAAATTTTCTTAAATATACTTTTATATTTTTATTATTAACAATATTTTTTTTATTTTTATAATTATTAAAACTACTTTTTATTCACTTTTATTTTTTTTAATAGAAAAAGTAAATTAAATTAACAATTTTAATAAAAAAATTAAAAAAGTAAATAATATATTTATAAAAATAGCTTAACAAGATTGTCTGTTGAACTAGAATATTAACATACATAAATATATGTATATCGATATATAGAAAACTTTGGCGCAATTTTAAGAACTAAGAGAAAAATGTAATTATTGTGTGCTCCAAGCGCACAGTGGGATGTAATATGTTGCCAATTTGTTGTTATAAAGCACATACTGTATATGTATATGCTTACATAAATGCAAACAAGTGTGAATAGCTATGAAATCGGATAGTATATAAATAAACCAAATGCATAAATAAAGAAAATGTATGCTAAGAGCTAGTAAATAGACAATTTATATACGTTTATATGTGTTTTAATAAAAAAGTATATATAATATATATAAACCTATACATACATATGTATTTGTGAGACATATATGTAGTTGTACCTGTAGTTAGTTTGTATACAACACTAGTAAGAATATTTAAAAAAGAAAATTAGCAACACAGAAACTATTTTTAACAAAAAATTGCGCATATATGTTGTTAAAAATAACTAAAAAATTTTAAATTAAAAATTACCAAAAATTCAAAAAACTGTGCTTTCGCAAAAATACATACTAGGTATTTGACAACGTTACTGCAAATCCAAATTGTGATATTTGATTTCGAAAAGTATTAGATTTATTTTTTTGTTTTATAAGTGAAATATTTTCAAGAAAATTATTAATGCATATATAAAAAATAATATTAATACATTATAGAGCACAAAATTTTGCGTTAAAAAGCTGTGCTTGATTTCGAAAATTATTTAAATATTATTTTCTAAAGTTTTGAAGTGACGTTTAAGTGTTAGATAACTCAATTAAATTAACGCTATTTTCAGAAATCACTAAAGTCAAATTGTCATTATGTTCTTGACTACAATTTGAGTGTTATTATAGTCATTGTTGCTGTTGTGTAAAAGTTGTGTGTTTTATATATCACTAAAATGTAACCGAATTATTACTTAAGTGCTAAGAAAATAAATTGACTAGAAGAATACTACCAAAAACGGTTGCTGTTGAAAATGTGTACCTAAATGTTGTACTAGTAAGTAGTAATTAAAAGAAATAGTTTAGAAAAAAAAATAAATATAAAAGGAAATAGTTTAACAAAAACAAAAGTATATATATAATAATAATAAAAATGTTGAAATGTAGTTTTATTAATGAAAGTAGTTGTAAAAAAATTGGGAATAAACAAAAATTTATTTTAACTGTTTTTAATTTTACTAGTTCTAGTGAAGCATCTTACAACTAAAAGAGCTTAAAAATTAAAAATGTAATAGGCAAAAGCAATCATCATTATTTTTTATGAAAAACAAATAAATATATTAAAAAAACACATAAATTATATAATCTATTAAAATTTATTTATTTGTTTACGATATTTAAAAATATTAATTTTTATAAAATGTCTTAAAATTTTTTTGTCTATTTTTTAACTTTTATTTAAAAAAAAATGTTTTTATATTATACAATTCAAAATATTTTTTATATGCACAGAAATTTTACTTATTTAAAATATTCAATTTCATTTTTTTTTCTTTTTTATTAATTTGACATTAAATAGATTTTTTATATAAACTATATTATATAATTTTATGTATAATATTTTATTTTATTTTTTATTATACTTTATTTATTTATATTATTTCTTTATATTATATAAAAGTATATATGTATATATATAATATATATATATTATACTTTATGTTTACTCAAGTTTTTATTACGCCATTTTAATTAATTTTATTATACCCTGAACAAAGTATATTCAGTTTGCCACGATGTTTGTAATACCCGAGAGGAAACGTCGGAGACCCTACAAAGTATATACATATACAAATGAACAGCATGACGTGCTGAGTCTATATAGCCATATCCGTCTATACGTCTGTCTGTCTTTTCTCTCTAAGCAGCTGCTCATTTGTCGGAAACGCCGATATCAGACCACTGCAGCATATAGTTGCCATACAAACTGACCGATCAAACCCAACTTCTTTTATGGAAAACTTTTTTATTTATCAAAATATCTTCACGAACATATACCGTCATACTAACTGAACGATTAAGATTGCTATAAAAAATGTACTTCACGGTGCAGCCAAAGTTAACGTTTTACTTGTTAATTATATAAAAAATACATATAAATTGATTTAAATTTACGTAATTTATTTCAAAACTATCTCTTCTTCAAATTCTTTTGATTTTTTCAAACCAATTAAAATTTTTCCAACTTCTTCCAATTTGCAACCTAATGTCTTCCAGACTTTAATTCACATTTCGAAAACAGTATTTTGTTCCAGAAATTTCTATTTGTTTATATTAAGGCCCCAAAATTGGTTGCATAAAGTAAGCAAACTGTTCTACATATACATAGGTATGTAAGTACAAAAAAATTAAAAGTATATATTGAAAAAAACTTTAAATGGCTGTTACATAATATAAGTTAAAATTGTATTTATAAAACAATGAACTAGAATATTATAGTTACAATGAAAATAAAATAGAAAAATACACACAGAAAAAAAATCAAAAAAATATATATGCCTTGTTTTTTAAATAAAAAATAGTCATAAATATTAAAAGAGCATCTACATTATGCTTACTTCAAGTTTGAAGATAATATAAAAAAATTAATTTAATTAACTGTGTTTTTGTGTAACACAAATACTTAAATTTAAGAAAACTTAAATTTATTGAAATTATAAAAAAGCATACAAATACAAATGTATGAACAGAATAAAAACGTTTACTTTAACGTAAATAATAAATTAATTTAAAAAATCTTAAAAAAAAAAATTAACAATAAAGCTTATAAGTTAAATATTATGTAAAGGGCACTTTTTGTTGTAAATTAAAGCCCCGTATGACGAAATAATTAAAGTTAATGAAAATAGTGTGCGTCAATTCAAGAAAATTTATATAAACAACATACAAATAAAATATATTACTTAAGTAGTTATGCAAAAGTTAATTTTGCATTAATAGTTGCAAATATTTACTACTTCAGTATTGTTTCGAAGCCATTATTGACAAAGCTATAAATAATTCGGAATATCAGCCAAATCTATAACATTTGGTATCAAGAGAATCAGAAAAAATTCAATAATTACAAATATATTTTTCGTTTCATTTCATTTTTTATTATCTATATATTTGTTACAGCACTGACAAAAATAGTTTTCTTCTTTATTTATTCTTAATGTCCTCAACTTTATTATTATAAAAATAACGATTAACATAAAGTTTACAAACAGTAAATATTTTTTTTTTAATTTTAGTTATTAATTTTTTTTACACTGATACATACATAGTATGTTGTCAAATACTCGTATCCTATTTTTATATATATTTATTTTTTCCCTGAGCAAACGATGTACATACAAGTATATATGTATGTACATGCATATGTAATTTAATTAAACAAGTTGATAAACTTTTAAATATCTTTGGACTTAAATACATGCAATACATATTTTTTCAATTAATGGCGTGTTTAAATAGATTTGTTAAGTAATAATTTGTTAGTTTGTTGTTTAGCAATGTCTATACCATATATATATGTATACATATATAGTTTAAATATTTTTTTTTTAATTATTATAATATATACATATATTTATTAAATTAATTTTTTAAGTTTTTCTTTAATTTTTATTTTTTATTTCTTTTATTTTTGATATTATTCCTATTAATATTGTTTTTGTTTTTGTTTTGCCTATTTCAAATTACATATTATTTAGAGTTTTTATTTGGTTTCTTTAATAAACGAAAATAACTATTTAAAATGGGATATGTATAAATTGGCTGTGAAAAAGTGTGAAAAATTTTAATTTTTGTTAAATTTTATTAAAAATTTTGGTTCCAACGCATTAGCTCAATTTGAAAATCATAATGCCATTGACAATTAATTCAATCATATTTTTTAATAAAATTTTTATTTTATGTCATGAATTCTCTTTTTGTCAGTTATATATGTATTTATGTGTTTTCCTATGGCAGACTATTATTTGTATCTGTGTATAATTGTGTTGCAATAATATTAATAATACCATTAAAAAAAAAAGTAAATACCAGTAAATAAAGAACCTAAATCAAATAAAATAGTCGCAATATTTGGCTCTGAATAACGGCGCATCATATAGAAATTTAGTCACATGCAAAATCATAGAAAAATACTTTTTGAGAAAAATGCACGAAACTTTTAAACATATGTATGTATGTGTGTTTTAAAATCAAAATAAGGCAAAGATAAAACTGCAATTTAATATTTCAAAAATGCTCAAAAAGCAAGCAATTTATAAGAAGACTATAAAATAATTTTATTTATGTAACTATAAATAAATAATTTTAAAAGCGATAAATTAATTACGAAGCTTATCAAAATTATGGAGAAAAATTGAAAACAATAAATGAATTTGGCCTACGCGCTAATTGCACTAATTAAATAATTTTGATAAAAGATTAGTAAAAAAGGCAACACAAACAAAAACGAAATCCTTAGTGAAAAAATGCGTTCAATCAAAATTATATATACATATATTTAAATGCATATTTAGTTAAAACAAATAATTGCATATGAATAAATATCATATTAAATTAAATTAGATATAATTCATTATGCATCTCAAAAAGCTCAAAAATAAACTAACAAAATCAATATGAGGCAATTATAAAATAAAGTAGAAAATAACGTTAAATAAGAGTTAAAAAATAAAAATATATTATAAATAAACTAAATATAAAAAATAGAATATCCAGAAAAATGAAATAATACATATACATATATATAAAAACTAAAAAATAATAAGCATAGTTTAATACAAAAAATTACCGAAGTAAAATTCTGTAACAGTAACTAACAAGTAAATGTGGGTTTAGCTACATACATACATACAAATAAAAAAGTGAATCAGAAAAAAAGAATACCCGAAGGCTTGTGTGTACACAAATGCTTATTATTACAAATACAAATAAATGTGTTAAATTTATAACAATTCAAATATGTGAAATTGCGTTGCAATATTAAACAAAAAATCAAGTAATAAAAACTTGAGCAGTAAAAGTAAGTAAGAAATCGTATGAGTATTATTTGTGAATTATACATAAATAATGAAATACATTTATGCGTTTTAACTAAAAATAAAAACAAAAAGTGTTTCAATGCAATTTTCATACTCTAACATTTATTAATCGATTTTTTAAATTTCACGTTTTGTCTTTTATGTTTGGTAAGCTTATGCATATGTAGGTACCTATGTATTTTCAAACTTATCATATGTATTTTTTTAATGTAATTGCAGAACAGTTTTTAAAACTAGTAAATAAAAAGTAAAACAGATTTTTTTACTAATCAGTTTTTGTTGTATTAACATATTATTGTTTTAGAAATTTTTTGGTTTATGTAAAAAACGAAAACATAAATTTAGCGCTCTGCTCTTATGCACTAATATTGTTATGTACATACAAATATATATCGAATACTTTTGCTATAATTTCGTTCAATATTTTTGGTCTTCTTTGGCAGTCCAGTTTATTTTTTATTCACTTTGCTTAGCGTATAGGTTGCATTGTCTAGCGGTGAAAGCGTTAGTTTTAACTCCATGTTCTGCGCTAGCTCATCGACAGTTTTTATTTCAGTTTTAGTTAAACCAGGTGGCAAATTGAAATTATTCAAATCCATGTTGTCCTTGAAACTTTGCATTAGTTCTGCCATTTCTTGTTCAAAAATGCTACGCGTCTCGGCGCTATTAGCATCACCTTGTTTGCCGTCGTCATTCTTCTTTATTATACCCATCGCCTTCGTCCAAATGCTGCGCTCGTTTTCTTTATATCTTGCATAACGTTCTTCCAATATTTTCAACTCGCGGCTGATATCTTCGTTTTGTGGCTCGATACGTTGTGAGCGTATAAGTATATGCCGTGCGCGTTCATACTCGCCTACAATAATAACAAAACAAGATATGATTTACCAAAATTTATATACAAAATAAAAAATATATAAAAAAAACTCACCTAGCAGCAGCAATGCACGTCCTTCTTGAAATAATGCTTTACAGGAGGGTTTATTGTTCGTCAACTGGCGTATTTCTTTGCACATAATACAAGCTTTTGTTGGTAGATTAACTTTATTATAGCAAACTGCTAAATTTGTGTATAATTTCAATAAAAATGTTGTTTGCTCTTTTTCCTCTTGCTCATTGGCCAAATGGCAACTGTTCAACAAACTTACTGCTTTCTCAAAGGCGCGACAAGCATTTTTATATAAGCCTTGTCCGAAGAAATCTAGACCTTTGAGATGAACATCACGTATTTTTTCAATTACTGTCGCATATTTGCCCCTTTCTTCATCGGTTAAGTTTTGATCTGCCTCTAAATCACCAACGGGATTGAATGAAACCAATTCTATAATAAAGAGTCCATCGGCACTTGGTTTAATGCGTGGCGGGCAACCAATTTCACGAAAGAGCAAATGATGTGAAATTACGAATTGTGCCTGTTCGCCACGATACATGGTGCGCACTGCTTCCTCTAATCCTTCGATTACTTCATTCCGTCCGGTATAAAAATGATATGAGGAGCCACGTAAAAATGATGAATCAAAAGGTGCCCCTTCACCTTCCCAGTAGGCATTATAACGTATACAAACACGCGCATTTAACGGCACTTCACCGTTTTCTGCTAACCCCGGCTGTGTAATTTTTTTGTAAATATATTCATTTATCTTTACCATTTGTTGTCGCAGTTCGTCAAATGTTTTTGTCCAAGGGGAAACCAGTGCTGAGAGATCTACGGCAATCTTTTCATCGTCTTCCTCATCGGAACCCAAATTCAATTCATCGAATATATCATTGCTGAAGCCTTCATCAAAGTTTGTGTTAATCTCAAATGTTGTGCCAGGACCAATAAGATCGCTGCGACAAATGGATGATTAGATTATTTGCGTATTTCTGAAATTTAATATGTAGTTACCTTATTGATAATGGGTCCTTTAGAAAGTTGCAGCTGTTAGGTAAACTTTCGTCCTCCATTTTAATTATGTTTAAAATTACTAGAAATAATTTGCGAACTCAGTGGTTTTAGTTGTGTTTGCATGTAATTTAGCGGCAATTAATTGTGAATTAACAATGAACTTATGGAAGAAGAAGCAAAATAAATAGTATTGTAAAACGATGGAAAATTTTGCATGCAACTTGTTGCTCAGATCAACTTAACAGACTTAACAAATTATGTGGTGAATTACGGTATTTCATTCATGAAAAAATTTTAGTTTATTAATTATTATTTTAATTTATTATGAACAAATTATCAATTTAATATATATAATTTAAAAATACTTGCAATATCTATTCAAAGCTCCCGTGAATCATATAATACAACAAAGACTTTTGAAAAAGACTGACCTATCAAGGCCACAGCTTCGTATGAAGGACACATATGTATGTATGTAAATGGGAAATCAACTGTTTACAAATAAAATATTTATAAAAAAATAAGTTAAACCTATATTTAACACAAAAAATGCAACTTATCACTAGCAAACCTCAGGTTATAGCAATTGCCAAAGTCTATAGTTTTGATTTGAGTGAACGCATAAGCTTCTCCAGTTTCATTGCCTTATTCAAATCACCGGAAATTTTTAGTTTGCCCGTCATATATGCAGTTGCAGCCTTTAATTTTCCCGAAAACATATCATGAAAGTTATTAGCTTTCATTGTTAAAGTTGCATCAGGTAAAACCTTTGGTTCACCATTACCACATGAGCCTGCTCCATTTTTCAAATCCAAATGCCATGTACCTTTTTCTTCTCCTACAATATTGAATTGGAAAACGGCTTGCGTTTTCTGCACCAATTCTGGTGAAAGCAATGTTTCAATCTTTCCAAATAATGCCGGTATTTGACCAGAAGATGCACCAACAGATTTTCTTTGCTTAATATCTTTTTTAATTGCATTGAGTTCATTCTCGGGAATATCCAAAAAGAAATCGGGCATTAATTTATCAGCATATTCTGGATTACAGGCATATTGTTTCAAATCAGTGACGCCGGCTTCGGTCAAGACTTCATCGTCAATAAGAAAACGCCCCGTACACTGTGTAGGTTCACGCACCAAAACTGCATATGCGGCATCTGCCATTATATCAACTTTACGCGATACATTTAAACTATCTGGCCCAGTCAACATTTCAATGGCAGCCGTGTGTATAGCAGTGCGCGGCCACAACGCGTTTACGGCCACTTTGGCAGAGCGGAATTCTTCTGCCATACCCAGCACACACATAGACATACCATATTTAGCCATAGTGTAGGCAACATGTGGAGCAAACCAGATTGGATTCAAATTTAAAGGCGGGGAAATATTCAATATGTGTGCATGATTACTCTTTGTCAGATATGGTAAACATTCCTTTGATACAAGGAAAGTGCCACGTGTGTTAATATGATGCATAAGATCATAACGCTTCATATCTGTATCCAGCGTACCAGTAAGTGAAATAGCAGATGCATTATTTATGAGAATATCAATACCACCGAACTTCGAGACAGCATCCTGCACAGCTGAACGTACTTGCTGCTCGTCGCGGACATCTACAACACAGGGGTGTGCACGACCACCGACCTTTTCAATTTCTTCAGCCGCTGTATAAATTGTACCTGGCAATTTGGGATGTGGTGTGCTTGTTTTAGCAGCGACAATAATGTTTGCACCATCTCGTGCCGCTTTTAGTGCGATGGCTTTGCCAATTCCGCGCGACGCACCTGTAAAAAGAAAGTTGACCCACTTTTATTAGTTTAATTTTCATGAAAATTCTTAATACGCGCCCTCACCAGTAATAAAAAGTGTACGTCCAGCTAATTTCCCTGTATTAATCATTTTATATGTTACCTATAATTTGCTATTAAATTCAGTGCCAATTTATAACGACCACTTCGTTGCGTGTTTGTTTTATAAATGTCAAAAAATTGGTGGGCCAAACAATGAAGTCAACAAAAGCAGAGTCCAAAGTACACAGTTGGACCGCGGCGTCTGAAGTATAAGCAGAAGCAGCATACTTAAGTGATAGCAACAATTACAGAGGTAAATGAAAAAACGTAAACATGAACAAACATAGTATATAGAAGAAACAAAATCATAAGACTTTGTACTACAGGAAAACTGATCTTAGTGGGTAAATTAAATAATCAAATTGATTAAATTAAACATTATCAATTACATTGCAAAATATTGGGCACCGATAAAATTTCATACATATATTTTGGGAATACAATTCTACAATGTGAAATAGAAAGTCCCTCATAAGTACATATGCATATACAATGTTAAAATAAATACGATGTTACATTTGCTAACAAAAAACAAGAGAACAGCATTAAATACAGACGTAGCGGTAATGACGACTGTAAAAAATTTGATCCCGCACCTAAAACAAATTTAAACACAAACGAATATGTTTTCAAAGAGAAAGGTCAGAGAAGTTTTTTGATAAGAGGTGCAATGAAAACGAAGCTATCAAATAATAAAAATATAGTAGGGTTGCCTCAAGTTTAAAATTATTATAACGATGATCCGAAATTTAAATTTTGAAATCAACGCATTGCAGTTTTATGCTTAAAGATAATGCTTATTCGCTTATTTATTAGTAATACCATACATTTCTTAAAAAAATTATACTTTTTTATTCAATATGAACAAACTTCAAACAAGGTGTTGAAGAATAAAAAATAGCTACAATTTATCTATAATCATTTTTGACTTAAGCACCTTCGATAGTTTTTCCAATTTAAGAGCTTTACTCAAATCTCCCGATATTACTATTTCACCCATAAGAAGTGCTGTCGACGGCTTCATTTTACCAGAAAATATTTCAACAAAATTCTCTGATGTTATTGTAAATGTTGCTTTCGCTTCCGTCTCCGGTACGCCTTTTCCACAAGAACCTTCACCATTTTTTAAGTCAAGATACCAAACACCTCCTTCATTACCCACTATGTGGAATTGATAAATCGCTATTGTTTTTTGATAGTAGCGGTTCAATTTTTTTAAACAGTTCTGAAATTTTTCCTTCTTCTCTTTGAGTATTTTTTTTCGCCTTTCTCCCTTTCAATTCAGAATTCCATGCTGGTATATCTCTGTTAATATAAGCTACAATTTTCTCCTTTGGTATATCTACGAAAGATTCATACATCAATTCATTTGTGACTGTAGGGTCGTTAGCATACTGATCAAGATCTTTTATACCTGCTTCTGTTAAAACTTCATCATCGACTAGAAAACGACCAGTTAACTCATCTGGCTCACGTATAAGCACTGCATAAGCTGCATCTGCCATAATATCCACTTTACGTGTACTCTTAACAAATTCAGGTCCCATAAGTGCTTTGATTCTCTCTGTGCATATTGAAGTAAGTGGCCACAAGGCATTTACCGCCACTGACATAGCGTTCAGCTAATATGCCATACCTAGCACACACATAGACATACCATACTTTGCTATGGTATACCCTAAATAAGCTGAGAACCATTTTGGATCCAAGTTTAAAGGTGGAGCTATATTTAAGATATGTGAATATTCGCTTCGTATCAAATAGGGCAGACACTCTTGAGATACAATGAAAGCGCCACGTGTATTCGGTTGATACATTGTATCAAAATGCTTTATTTTTGTGGCCGGTGTACTGGAGAAAGAAATAGCGGAGGCATTATTAACCACAATGTCAATGCCACCAAATCTCGAAACAGCATCATGAACAGCTGCACGCACTTGCTCTTCATCACGAATATCCCGCCCGCCTGCTTTCTCTACCTCATGTGCGGCTGTGTAAATGGTTCCAGGTAGTTTAGGATTTTCTTCAGTAGTTCGAGCAGCTATCACTATATTTGCACCATCACGAGGCGCTTTTATAGCTATAGCCTTGCCAATACCGCGTGATACACCTTGAC